CTACCGGCCCTAATCAGGAAGGTACGCTATCCAAGGACACCAGGGTGCTGGGACATTACAGTGGCACGTGCGCACCAGGGTCTGCCGACCCCAGTCCGGTCCGGCCAATCATCTTCCTGTAGCTGACTCACACATGCCCGCGCTGCGACAACTACCGCGCTCTCACACTTTTGACCTGGGCCCTCTCGAGTGCAGACACACCGCATGCAACGCTCAATCTTTCGCCTCTCGCGACTGGTGGCATGTGCCGACCTCAGTCCGGTCTGGCCAATCACCTTCAAGACTGACTCACACAGGACGTCAGTGTGCCGACTGCCGATTTCTCCCACTTCGGACGCTGTCCCTCTCGGGTGCAGGCGCACGCTCATGCGACTCTCAACTTCCTCCAAACTATCTTCCACTAACTATGTACTGAATAGACCATTCCTTCCACCTCGCGTCTCACTTCTTCTCTCTTTCCACAAGGGACCAGGCCTGAAGATCGCACCGGCAGGGGTTTTACCTATTAACTTAACCCACTGCCATAAGCCGACCAGCCCTACAGACACGGTTTCTATATCAGCATCAGGTTGCTGCACTGGAAAAGGCAAGCGAAAAAGAAGACAATAACTAACTAACCCTGATGACTGTTCAACCATCGATTTCGAGGCAGTCCACCATATGCAGCAACAGGTTGGTACAGTGATGATGAATGGCTGCAGGGGGTAGCTTTTAAGTGATAGCAGACAATACCAACCGCGCTCTTCACCTTCACCCTGGGTCCAAAAGACCAGATTGGATCCGCCGTTGGCCGCTTTCTCTAATGTTGTACGCCAGAAACACCGCCTTACTTAGTGTTAAGTGACAGACGACTGGGCGGGTACTACCGCACTACCTATCCTCACTCACCTTCAGTAGGTGTCAAGATAGGCTCAAGGAGGCCGAGATGGATACGGCTACTCCAACTACTACCACCAGCTAGCTGAGCGGTAGTAGTAGTACTGATACTAATACTGACGCTGCCATTTGTCAGCAGTGGCGCTGATTAAAGTCAACACTGGACTCATATTCCCTCAATCTCAACAAGAAGTGTGCACCTCGGATTACGCTATTCTGTTTGAAGCTCGGGGCACAACAGGGTCTCCCTACTTTTCC